TCTGGGTTTCAAGTGTACGTCTTAGAAAATTTTTCTTTCTCCCGAATGTACTTAATCTTGTTCCCCTCCCTACATCTTGTCAAGTCCAGGCACATCCAGAACAGCTTCAGAGAAGCAACCTCCAGATACTCCATCTCCTGCCACACACACAGCTGCTTCTACTGGACCTGTTCCTTCTGACCTATCCTCAGATGGCTCGATCCATAGACCCTGGACAGCTGGAAACAGCCAACTCTCCTAAGACTGAACAAACATCCCCCATACCCATTCTTCTAGGTTCCCCCTAGAGACATGTTACCCCCAATGCCAGCAGGAAGTAGCCAGATATCACAATGACCCTATTCCTGCTTCACCATCACCTCTTTCTAATTTTTCTTTTTTTATTAAACCAAAACGGTGGAATGTTAGTATTCTGTCTAAGGGCTCAGACAGTCTCTGATCTCCTCCTCAGAGAGATCATCCCCTGATTTGATGTCCTCACCTCTCTCCAGTCAGACAATGGGCCTGAATTTACTTCCCAAGTTTCTCAACTTCTGTCTAAGGCCGTACACATGCCCTGGCATTTTCATATTCCCTACCACCCTCAATATTCAGGTAAGGTAGAGAGAACTAACCACTCTTTAAAAACCACTCTTGTCACAGGAACTTCACCTTGACTGGGTAAAACTCCTACCTCTGGATCTTTTCAGGCTATGAGCCATTCCCAAGCCATCTCTCCTCATCTCACCCTTTGAACTCATGTATGGACATCCAGTTCTGACTCCTGGTCTTTCACCTATATGTTCCCCCCTCCCAGAACATCTGCTCACCCCATTACTTTGCCACCTCTGTTTTCTCTTGTGGGACTTTGCTGTCCACCATCTACCTCAACCACACACCGTCTCCTGTCCACTGCCTGTCAACATCGGAGACCAAGTGCTTCTCTCCCCTCCAGATCATCGGCCCTCACCTCTCTCCCCCAGATGGCAGGGTTTTTTTAAGGTGAACCTTGTGACCCCTACAGCTGCTAAACTTGAAGGACTCCCTCATTGGGTCCACTTGTCTCACCTCAAGCCTTTCACCTCTCCATCTAAAATCAACTCTTCTTCATACACGTCAACCCTAACTGGACTGTGCTCTATTAAGCTCCAGAGGATATCAAAATCACCCATCTTGTCCTCAATCCCAGAAAATGAGACTCCACTCTGGCAGCCAAGCTCGACCTCACTGAACTAGACATGTGTTTCTTGTCCTCCCCTGCTGTTTGTTTCTATCCAGGTCAGCCCTTACATCTGGAGGTTCAAGGTTCAAGAGACACCCACAGATAACAAACAGTCTTTCCAAACAGGGTCAGGAAACTGCTCCATAGCCGGATGCCAAGAACCAATCCAAATTGCCACTATCCCTATACCTGTTATCCCACCTAAATATTATGTTCTCTATACTTGTTTTTTTTCCCCAGATAGAAGATTATTGTAGAAACTGGCCAGACAATTATGGGGGCTGCCCATATTGGTCTTGTCAGATACATATGCTAGGTTTAGGAACCAACCACTGCAAGACTACCAACACTGCAAGACACTCATTTCTACATGCAAGACCCGAGAGATTCTAGCTGTGGTGCTTCAGAACTGATGGGTGCCAGACATCCTGACAGCTAAAGAAGATCTTCAACAGCTCTTCCATGAAGAATGCCATTTTGGGGGGAATGTGAGACCTCCAGTTTTGAGATTAAAAAAAAAACATATAAAAGCAGATACTCTCCCTTTTTAGCCATCCTCCTAGAATTATTTCTAACCAATTTATTAATCAGTTCCTGTTACAGGATTTCCAGTTGCTGTCCACAGAGGAGCCTGATACACACATCTACCACGTTGGCCCCATGGTGAAAAGCCAGCTGCTCCCCACAACGGACTACGCCCCTACATAGCAGAAAGTAGTTTAAGAGACACGACGCCCTGACTCCTCTTTCACCATCAGCTTCCCCTCCCCTTTTTTCTTTTTTTTATAATAATAAGAAGGGAGGTATGTTGATAACAACCCGAACTTGGTGACATCATATCCAGGTAACTCCCACATCGTTGCCAAGACAACCTCCGTATACTCCCAGAATCCACCTGGCCACCTCACCTGTACCTGGAAAAAGAGCAACGTCATCACTCATATAAATAGACAGAACTGTCTCTTCCTCTCTCTCTCTCTTATCTCCGCCATTCCTCCCATTTCTCTCCCCACCCTCAGCCCTCAATAAACCCCCTCCCCTCGTGGAACCGTTTGGTCTGGTGTTGTCTGTCTAAACTGTGGGCGCACCCAAAATCTTTCAACAATCAAACTCAAGTTGTTTAACATTGAGAGAGAGGTTAGAGTTGAAGACATAGTTTTCAGATGGTGTTACAGGCTAAAATCTAAACATAATCCAGGAATAGAATTATAATTCTTTAAATTAGGAATGTGATGGTAAAGTACTTTATCTAACTGACAATATGAAGGACTGGATGTTAATTGTGTATCATACTTGTAATGAACACAACTGTTACAGTCTTGTTCAATTTATGTCTAATTGAACAGAAAAGGTGAGATATAGAGGGAGGTTCTGATGCTAAGCTTCTGTTCCCTAATTGGTTTGTGGTCGATTAATAAAGATACTAGGGGCTAATTGCTGGGCAGAAGAAAAGAGTCAAGACTTCCAAGTCCCAGGCTAGATGGAGGAAGAGAAAGGGAGATCTTTCCATGAGTTCTCCATGCATCAAAGGGAGAAAAGGTAACCAACCATGTGAGATCTCAGAGGTCATAGGCCAGTTACACAGGTGGGAGATTAGAAACATAATTAAGTTGAGGGCAGATTTAGAGGGCTGAACAAGGAGGAGGTAACCAAGCATCTAAATCTGAGGGCAGATTTAGGGTGCTGAGCTAAGAGTGTTAGGAAGAGCATGCTAATGGCAGGAGATTAGAAGTGCCCAGAAGTTGAGGCAATAAAGCATGTTGAAAAATAATCTAATGTGTGTGTGTCTTTCATCTGTGGATGCAAGGGAATCTGAGCAGGGCTGGTAGCATTGTCTGCCCAGAGCTTAAAGCAGGGTAGCAAAAACTACCTTACAATTCACTGGTAACCGTGGAGATGTGTGTATGCATATCATCTGAGGACTTGTGACACGGAGGCAGTAGGATCATCATGAGTTCAATACTACTTCAGCTATATATCAATTTTGAGCCTAACTTTAACTGCATAAAACTGTCTCAAAATGGGAGGGGAGAACCACCAATAAATGTAATAAGAAGGAGCAAATTTTCTTCTAAAATTAGCAAATAATGACAATATCTAGTGACGATCTGAATATAAATGAACTTGTGGGGATAAATTCTGCCAAGTTTTATGTAAATGTCTGGGAAAAATTAGTCATTGTGTCTCCAAAGTTTAATTATGAAAAAATGTACTGATATCTTACTTATTCCAGCAGTTTCCTAATCGATACTTAAGAACCCAAATATGTAGTGTGTATTCGTGCATGTCTACATGAGAGAGAGAGAGAGAGAGAGAGAGAGAGAGAGAGAAACAGAGAGATAGAGAACAAGAGAGAGAGAAGAAGGGAAAGAATGAGAGAACAAGGGAGAGAGAGAGAGAGAGAAAGACAGAGAGAGAGAGAGAAAGCGTTTTCATGGAGCATGACTCACACTCAGACTCTCAGTCTTGGGAGTAAATGCCTTTATGTCCTTAGCCATCTAATGGTCTCCTAATCCTAAAATATTTTAAGTTCACTGAACATATACCCTTGGTGTTATTCAAATATTATATAGTTATTTAGAATAATGTTTAATATATTGCTTTAGAGAACTGTTAATGACCCCATGCTATACTTCTATTTGTAAAACCTATAACAGACTCATAAATTTGTATTTCTAACTTAGTTGTGGTGCTAAACTGTGACTTATACTCAGGTTTAATTTGTATAGAAGGACATTTTCTTTTCAATATCAGAAAGAAAAAGTGATTTCATGCTCCAATTTTTTTCACAACTCAAATTTTGGGCTTTCAAGTATTCTTCCAATATAACTTGGATTGTATTCATCTTTGTCTCTCCTGGAATGCAGACTTTTGTGTATGGGCTTATTTGTCGTTTAACACCACATCTGTCAATAGGACAATTCAGTTTATTGCTCCACTATTCACTGAAATAAACTGAAAGAAAATCATCTCAGTGGTAATAATTGTAATAATGGGGTTTCTAAGACAACTGCATGTTTTTATATAGGTTAAGATTTGGATTATTTGATTTCTTTTTGCCAGTTGTTTTACAGTGTATTTATTAGGAAGTTATATCAAGCAGAGTAGATTTTTGCTGCAGTTTTTCATGTTAAGGGTGCAGCTAAAATTAGTCTGAAGCACTGTGCAACACTCTTCCTTAAGCAGCTGCTTTCCAGGCTCTTCAGTCTCCATTAATACCCTCTGTCTCATCAGATTCGAAGCATTTTCCTTTTGTAGCTAATTTTTTTTCCAAATACACACTAACATTATGCCACAAAAGCATTTTGTAATGAATAGCTCATGTTTTACAAGGTTTAGCATATTCTTCTGTTATGTGTTTACAATGGCTACAGTAATTTATAAAGATTCCTCCAAGACATCTGTGGGAAACTGCTTTTTGATGTATACCCACATTGCCAGCAATTAACTCACTATTAAGACAGCATTGTTGGAAACATGTGTTAGAGGTTGGCTCTCTGGTCAACTCACTCACTTGTGGAGGAAAATATTCACCAAGACTGTGAGGTCCAGAACGAAAGAAATACTACAATTGGCCTCAATAGGAAACATAGCTTATAGGGGATTTTTTTTTTTAAATTAAGCTCTACTAAACTGTTTCCTAAAGAGGCTACTTGATTTTCTAATAACACCAGCAATGCCAGAGTGTTTAATTTCTTTATATCTTCTTTAACATTCAGTGTCTTCTGTTTTTATTTTATTTTATTTTATTTTATTTTATTTTATTTTATTTTATTTTATTTTATTTTATTTTATTTTTTCAGGGTAGATTGCAAATGCAGTCCCCAACTACCACAAATTACGCAGTCAAGTCTCTCTGAATTTGGGAAAATTGCAGGAGTCAGCACTTCCAGAGTGCAGTGAATAAGCCTCAAGTGGGAAAACCACCGTCAGGATCATAGCACCTATCTCCCCTGCATGGCTGTTTGGATTAGACTGTACTTAGGTGGTGTTTTTATTCAATTAAAAACATGATCACCATTGTACCCAGCTATCACATTCTTAATCATTTATCACAGAGAATTAGAAGCATGTAATTCCACAGCATCTGATCATGAATACGCACAGCAGCTTTTTCTGTACGAGACAAAGCCAGCAGCAATCTAGATATCCTCAACTGGTAAATGACTGCACTGAAATATTCTCTGCATTGGAGCAGCGCACAGCAACTTTGAATAAAGATCAACTAAGAGTTTGGCTTGAATTTGATTTCTTTGCCTCCTTCCTTTATTTTACTCCCTTTCCTTCCCTCCCATTCTTCTTTCATTCCATCTTTCCTCTTAATCATTCTCTTCTCCATCCATCTACTTCTCCCTTCTATCCAGTTTTTCAGTGCGGGAGCTTTTACCCAGAGCCTTACACATGATAAATATATATGCTCTATCATTGTGCCACACTTAAAGTTACTTAGAGGAGTTAGCTGCCTACAGGATCATGTCTCCATCATTATATTTAAAGAATGCTTTGAAATGACAACATTATTGTAATAGATAACAGATTAATTGTTGCCAGAGTTTTTGAATGAGCTGGGCATGGGCAAGAAATAGATACAGTAAGAAAAAAAAATCAGAAATTTGCTCCATGGTTATGACAATATTCTACACACTTGACTGTGTTGTTAGTTAGATATATGAACTAGCATAGGTAATGAACTTTCCTAGAATCAAATGCTGAAACATGTATACAACACAGAAGATCAGTCGCTATACCAATGATCATATACTGATTGCCATTATGATCTACAATACTATAAGCTGGTATAGTTAGGAGAGACTGGATAAAAAGGACATGAAATCTATATTTCCTTACAACCTCACAAGAATCTACAGTTCTATGCAAATGATTCAGTTTTTCAAAAGCCAAGAAGCGACTATGCAGTCATACATGGGTAATTAACAGGACATCTATTTTTAAATGTCTGAGGGAGTAGATGGCAAAGCATGTCTTCAGTACTCACACATAATTGTGAGAGTCAGTGTTGCAAGAATGGTCCATCTTAAATTCTCATAAAGCTAAAGGTAAAATAGATCCTCAAGTCCTTCTTCACTTTACTACTTTGCTTACATAGCAGCAAGTGTGTTTGCTTCTTAGTTTTATGTTCCTATATTAGCCAATGTCCAATTTGGAAAAAAGTTCTAGATTTTTTAAATTATGATGATGAATTTATTTCCAATAGATGATATCATTTAGATAAGGCCAGAAGTACCTGAGAAGAAACAAAAATGAAAACCAAATTGCTGATACCTAGAGATGAGACTGTCATTCATAGAGCAGATCAAGAGATATGGTAGACTCCACATGGGGATCAGAGGTAGTGTGCTTGCTAGCATGCAGCAGCTCCCAAGATTTAACTCTTCACAATAAAATAAAAAATAAAATAAAATAAAATAAAATAAAATAAAATAAAATAAAATAAAATCAAAGGAAAGGTTAAGAAAAGCAAAGAGGATGAAGATGGTGTTCAAAACCACTTGCTATCTGGTTCTAGTTCTAGGAGTGATGGGATCGAAGATCCTGTCCCGCTAGGTTTCAGTCACACAGAAGTTCAACCACTTTGTTTTGTTTTCAATATATCTCAATCACAGTTTGCCTGCCCCTCATACCTCTCAGTCACCATCCTTCCCTCCCCTCTCCTCCAGATCCATTTCTCCTTCATTTCCCTTCAGAAAAGAGCAGGCCTCCCAGGGATATCAACTGAACATTGCACAGCAAGACTAGGTACAATCCCTCATATCAAGGGTGAAGCAACCCAGTAGGAGATAAAGGGCCTCAAGAGCAGACAAAAGAGTCTGAGACACACCTCAACGCTCACTCTTACTAACAAAAGAATACCAGTTAAGGGGCCAAGGATACCAGGAGAATAAGGCCCACTGAATCAACTGCTTTCAAATGTATATGAAGCAGCTGAAAGAGAATAATCTCTCTTCCTGATTTTTAATTGCCCTAGTCACCTCTTACCAACAACCCATAGTTGTTTCCTAGCATACCTGGGCAGTATACTTTACAGAACCCAGGCTCCTGTGAGGATACATCAAACTTGCCACAGAGTGCTGTTCGTGAGGTTGAGAAAAACCAGGAGACAACCATGGGATATTATCTTCTGTATTTATTTATATATTGCTAAATTCGGACAAATAAATGTTTATGTAAAAATGGCTATATATATATAAATGTTGATAAACTATGGAAAATTTTCTATAATGAGATGTAGAGAAAAAAGGAACAATATAAAGAAGTTATGTACATTATGCTCTTTGAATCTGTACCTTGGACTTGTCATCTGTGCTTAACTTTATTCATAATACTGAATAAAACTTGAATATTTCTTCCTTGTTTTAATGATTTCTTTCTTCTTTTTAAAAGGAGTTCTTTTTTAAATATTTTTAATTAATTTTTTTAATATGTGAGAGTGTTTAGCCTACATGTAGGTTTCTGCACCATGTATTCTTGGTAAGCTAGAAGACAATGACAGATGTTCTAGAACTTAAATTATAGACAGTTATGATATTCCAGGTGTGGGCTGAGAACAGAACTCAGGTCTTCAGTCAGAGCAGCTGATGATGCTAACTGCGGAGCAGTGTCATCATCACCACGTATCTCCCTTTAATGGATAAAAGCTAGTCCTAAGCAGTTTGCATCAACCACACAAGATTAGAGGTGCTTAAGAGATGTAAAAGGCAAGTGTATCTGGTTGTTTGCACAATATCAATTTCTAGATCTTCAATCTTTCTATTTATCATTTGCCTTAGAACTGATATCTGGGGGAGATGACTCAATGGTGAAAGGGTGTGCAACAGTAAAAATCTGATATCAGGTCCCAAGGATACACGTAAAGTCAAGTTCATAGCATGTACCTATAATCACAGCATTCCTCACCCTTTGTGTGAGACAAGAGGCAGAAAATGAGAATCTACAAAAGCTTGTAGGCCAGTCAGCACAGCACACATACTGGTGAACAAAAATAGACACTGTTTCTAATGAGATGGGCAAAGAGCTTTTTGAGGTTGTCTTCTGTCCACCATATAAACTCTATAGTGCATGCATACCCTTATTCAAACATGTGCACGGGAACAGTGCACATAAACACACATTACACACACACACACATAGACAAACACATGCACACACAATGTACACACATACAAATACATACACAACAAGTAAATTGATAAATGAATAATTTATTCCTGCATTGATTCCAGAAATGTATAAGTTTCACTTTGGTACCCTTTCCTGGGTGATACAATTTTTAATTTTTTAGATTAAACTTTTATGTGTTTATTATTTATTTATTTGGATGAAATTTATTTATATATTTATTATTATGGATAAAATATTTTAATTCATTTTAAATTCTAGGTGAACTATATGTTTGTATTATTTCAAAGCACTTTATACATTAATAAAAATGCATCAGGATTTTAGTATAAAAGACATATCTATAAACACAGAGCTGGTGAGATATCTGAGATTGCAGAATTCATTTTTTTTAATTTTTTTATTGGATTTTTTTATTTATTTACAATACAGATGTCGTTCCATTTCCCCCTTTCCCCCTTTCCCCTCCCTAGAGCCCCCATCCCATTCCTCCTTCTCCTTTATGATTTTATACCATTTAAATTACATGCAAGTATTAAAGTCAGTTCTAGGTTGAGGGACTAGCAATACAATAGATGCAAATAGTCAAGGAACAAGCAAGACAATAAACACAAATAGTCAAAGAAAAAATAAAGCATTTAACCCAATTACATGGACACTCCCGTGATAACTGTTTGTAAGGGCTTATCAGGATGACCAAAGTATCTGAGCCTACTTCTCTTTCCTATTGCAAGGTCATTTTTATGTCTGAAGCCTACTTCCTTGTTCTAGCTTAAAATTTAGAATCCTGTCTGAAATTGCTTCTTTGTTCTAGCCTAATATATAGATTCCTATCTGAAATTACTTCTATGTTCTAGCCTAAGATTTAGATTCCTGCCTGAAATTACTTCTTTGTCCTAGCCTAAGATTTAGATTCCTACCTGAAATTCCTTCTTTTTTTCTAGCCTAATGTCAGATTCCTGCCTGAAGCTTACTTCCTTGTCCTCAGCTAATGTTATATTCCTGCCAAGCAGCCCATTTCCTTGTCCTTAGCCCATGTCAGCTTCTTGCCAAGCAGCCACAAAGGCTCTCTGCCTCTCTCCCTTTTTCATTTCATTAACAAGACTGACCCTGTCTTAGGTCATTCTGACAAGAATGCCTTCCTTACCCATCATGGAATATGCATTATCCAAAGCAATGTACTTTTGTCTTAGGTTGGTAAGGCTCGGTGCAGAATATTACCAATCCTTGGCTTGCCAGCCTGTTAATTTAATAACTCTGTCTGGGGGTCCATTTTCAGGCTCAAGTCATGCACTTTGGCTGCCAATATGTTGATGTTGTTCAAGACAAGCTTTAACATGATGAGCAGGAATAAAAGTATTCCCAGGACAAAAAGGGCTAGCATGATCAAGCTATATATACCATTTTTGAAGCTTGACCAAAATAGAGATATTGACCTCAGGCCATAGGTAATTTTATCTGCAGTATCTACCTCATCAACACTCAGCAGATCAGCATTCTTGAAATTCATAAGCTCCCTATGTATCATTAAAACCTCCAGATAGGTGTTAGAATTATGCCAAATATCCTGCAAGTGTCATTAAACTTCTTCCTAATTATAATGACTACCACTGTAAATTTTAGAACTAACATGAATCCAATGGTATTTGACTTGACACTCAAGATGGCTCTTTACCCTTAAATTCTGTTTGTGTTTTTTTCTGCAAGATGATGAAGGAGCATGGTGGCTGCCAGCCAAAGCAATGGGTGAAACATGCTGATGCCATGACAAATAATGATGCCGACCTGTGAGCTTGCTGAGTGCCCTGACAATGGTGACTGGGAAGCTGT